ATTTAAAACTAATATACTGTTTAGATAGTTGCATGACAGACCATGCAATTTTAGTGAAAAATGAAAAAAGAAATAAGGAAAAAAAAAAATTAGACACGTGTTAATATTAAGTAAACAACTTTTTATATCACAACTTCAGCTCACACAGCTATGGGAACAGAGGGGGGCTGATGTGGGTATGTACTTCCTAGTAAATGCTTTGAAACTGTAATCTTTGGTTGGTACAGACTACCAAATCTAGGGGCTTCAAAGGTCAAGTAGGACGTAACTCCAAAATCTTCTAGTAGATACTCCAAAGGATTCGGTTGGCTTAAGCTACCAAATCTAGGGGCAAAAACTGCCAAGCAAGACGCAACTCCTACATACTCGGTAAGCTGTCAGCACTGCCATGTTTAACGCATATATGTTAGTGTCTACATCATTGTTCTCTTCAAAGTTATCTATTTGATATTAACATGTGATAGGCTGTTGGTAGTGGTATTGTTGTTGTTGTTATTGTTGATGTCATTGTGGTGATTGATGGTGCAATTTTGGTGAGTTGTGATTGGTTGGAATATAATGTTGATCTTTTGATAGGGGTAAGCTGATTTCAGTTTTTGTTGTAAAAAAAAGAAATCAAGGTGCTTCTATATATATGAGCGAAAAAGATATCAAACCAAAGGCCTTTCTTTATATAACCTTCATCCACAAGATGTCCAGTTTTGAGGAATTTAACCAAGAGTCTCATCCTTATGCAGTTTGAGTCTTTACAACCAAACTCTTAAAATTGGCTTATATATAACAGGTCTTTAGGATATATAAGGCTTGTTGTATCAGTATTAGCAAAGGTAACTCTTTGTCTTGAAGAAGCAAAGCTAGTCTTTCATCCAATAAATCTGGGATTTGACCTTCTGCCCATAACACCCAGCTCTACTTAGCCTAAACCTCTTAGACTATTGTGAAAGGGGACAACCAGTCGGCTTTTTTAGAAGAGAATTTTTATTCTCGATAGTGGTAAAAGAAGAGAAAAAGTTTTTTTTTAGAGAAAAGGATAACTTGACAAAACCCCAAACTTGTCTTGTTAAAGTTTTCTAAAAAGGAAAGTTTTTCAAAAATTTGAGGGAAATGGAAAAGAGTTTTTTAAGATATAGTGATTTAATTATGAGTTCAAAATGATTTTTATTAGAGAAAGTTGAGATGAGTTAGGAAATTTTTTGAACAGTTGAAAAGAACAACTGTTCTATTTATACATGTTTGAAACATATGATGCTAAAAGATAAATAAGTGATAAGATATGCAAGTTCAGTCAGATATGCGTGATATGCTTAATTATATTGCTCAGGTCACTTAGACTGCTCAGGTTGATCAGGCAGACCTGACATATCAATCATATCTGGCAGAAATACCATATTTATTTGATATACTACTGTATGTATGCTAGATAATTAATAATCGAAATAATAAAGTAATATAATACTATGAAATAATAATCTAAAAATGGTACTATCAATACTTATAACAATATTAAAGAAAATCAAATAGATAAAAAGTGTTTGAAAACATATTGAAGTTAAAAGGTTTTTTTGAAAGACTTGTTATTAAAGAAATTTTTGATAACAAATCAATTAATCAAAAAAGTTTAAATAATTGTAAAATAGTTTTTTTTTTAAAAAAAAAAAACTTATAAATAGAATATATTGTGAGAATATATTGTGATTTTATAACAATATTTTAAAATTTTATTTAGAATACATATTTATTTAAAAAAATTATAATAGATCGTAAAATAAATTTGATTATTTAAAAAGTTTTTATTTCTAATTATATACATCATATGCTGTATAATATAAATTTTGAAAAAAAATTTAATGATTTAATGATGATAATATGGTTTTAAAGGGAATATAAGTTTTTTCAAAAAAAATTGATTTCTTGAATGTAAATTCAATTTGTTATTTGAACATATTTTTTCATAAAGCTTTGAAAATTTTCTTGAATAAATAACATGCTTATTTGAACATGAGTTCAGATAGCCTTGATTGATCATTATGCTTAATATAACGCGTCTTATCAATGTTTACTAAATACATCATATTATTAGTTATACTGTATTTTAGATAGATTTTTTATTTATTCATTTAATTTGATAATGATAATAAATATTATAAAATCGTTATTATTGAAACAATGACAATATTAAAAAAAAACATAACCATTTATGTAATTACCCAGATTTCCACGTAAAGGGCATTTTAACCGGACCCCTTGTAACCAAGTATCACATTTATTTTTATTTGTTTGACAGGTTTTAAAATTTTGGAATTTTATTCGCGAATATCAACATGATTAATCCCGCATTCAATTTTGTATGGATGTACCTTTTAATACTATAATTCGTTATGGTACTGATAACGGAGCTCATGCAATTTCGGAGTAATAATGACCATTATGTATAAATCCGGAAATTTACCTTTGAACAATGACCAGGGGTAGAGCCATTTTTATTAGGTGTGGACACGTACGATTCAAGTTCATTTATACCATGAGTATAGATCGGCATCGGTAGACAAATAAAGAAAAAATGTATTTCTAATATACGGTATCAAAACTAATGCGTCCGTAAAAACCTCAAAAACATCACACTAACAACTTTTAACAACATATCAAACCAGCTGAAATCGCATGTTAAAAATTGATCAATATAAAAATCGGTATATATGCAATTTAAAGTACGTCCATTCTATATACATATGGATAAAATCGCGTTAATGAATAAAAAAAAATAACAAATTAGAAGTAAGCTTTAACTAAGAATAATAATGAATTGAAATTTAGATTTCACAATTGATTCTTCCACGGTTATAGTGCCTCCATATATTGTCCTTATTTTCTAGCATACACCTCCGACATACTCCCCGATGATTGCGATCGATGTCGACGTTGATTACTATTATGTGAAAAAAAACTCAACCCTGAATCTGTCTCATATCGTCTTTTAATTCTATAACACGACAAACACCCACAGAAAATCAAGCCCAGTAAAATTACAGCCACCAGGATAAATGTAATTAAACAATAATTTCCGCAATCACGAGTTCCATCGTTATCATACCAAAATACCCATACACGTCTATAGGTTCTCTTTGACAAGGAAGTTATGGAAGGTAATTGCGACGAGACATCAACAATATCTGAATCTTTTCGTTTTATTGACTCATCACGTTTCAATAAAGCAGCATCGAGGTTATTTCCACCAAAATCGTTTATGGTTTCTTTACGTTGTATGGTCGCCGAATAAACATTCGTTGCTTGTAGCAGTGAAGTTATCAATAGAGTCATCAACAAGGGAATCCAGAATTGCAGGGAATATAAATTATTTTTTTTACTATACACCATTTTTAACTCCTAAAAAGCAAGATAGGTGGTTTCTATGTTTCAATATCATATCCTTAGTCATAATCAAAAAGAAATATCAGGAGTTTTACATTACCAGGTTCGAAAAACAAACGATAGTTCGTGTGTGAAAAATAAATGGGAATTATTTATACTTTTTCATTCATACAGTATTTCGCGGTTATGTTTGAGCTGATCGTTATCTTATTTTTGTATTATGCGACGCATTCGTAACACCATAAACTATGCATTACATAAGATAGACGTAACAGAACGTTCGACGGTAGTGTTGCGTCAGTATAAGTACTGAATGTCATTGGGCCTGAAGTGCACAATGATGATAGAAACTCTCTAGACAATTAGGGTCCGGCTTTTGACTTTCCACGAATGTTCGTATAATAGAGTCTATGTGCCAGGCAATACTTACAGGACAAAGCTGTATGTACCACACGATTTTACGATTTTTAATGCTGCCGGTTAAATTTGGTATTTTATTACTTGTTTAACACGCACATTCGCATCGGAGATTCGGTTTATCCTATAAAGTGACACGTGCACAAATAATCTGTGTCGTTTGTGACGTAACCTGGGTTAAATCGTATAGTACTACTATATTAGAGAGCAATAGTGTTACAAACATAGCGTAAGTTTAATGTTTTATTTTTTTTTGAAACCCCAATGTTATTTCTACATACATCGTTGAACCTTATTTTTTATATAAATTTGTCTTAGATCCAAGTGGCAGATCATTAAACACTACATATGAAATGTCAGTCAAATGCCCGGAATCCGATCATTATGGTAAATATGGACTCGATTATCATAAGAATGGTAAGCTCTGGATTATATACAGTATATTGGTTGTATCACCATAAGTTTCAATAAGTTTCTTTCAAATGATCAAAAAAAGCTACAAACTTTTAACTAACGCATACGGAGATTTTTTTTAAACGTAAAAGGGAAGTAATGGTACTGTATGTGACATTGCATCATGCTAGATAAATTACGACTTGCTAGGTTTTTGAGTACTTTTGGGACTTTACACTTTTGGAACTTTTGCATTAAGTATATAGGACATGTAGTAATTGGAGAAGAGAAACGAGCTGCTTAAAAGTAATACCATATACTGTAAAACCATCGATGTTCCGCTATATTATAACGACATGCTTTTCTTGACCCAGTGAAACCCCCTCTTTCGATTATTGTATGTATAATTTACTCCGTCGACAAGCAACAGATAATAATTTTGGTCTTTAACAAGAATCAAATTTATATTTTAATAGTCCTCGTTTTTATAATTTGTATGCAATGAAATAATTTTCGATGATTAATCTGCAAATATTGTTCTTCATTTTCTTCTAATTATGAATGAACTGACTTTATTGAGTTTTAATGCTCGAGTATACATTAATTGTCGTTTTACAGTATATCAAGTATCTAACTGACAAGACCCTATTGCATAAGAACATGTGAAACCATTGACTTCACATGTTGTGGGAAGAAAAGATAATATTCATCACTTTCCAATTGTCAATTAATTAAAAGGTAAAAATTATTTAATATAATATAAATATGCATGATACATAATACTCTAACAATACATATATTATTTTTTTTTACTTGAATTATATTATCACGTGATTTGTTTGTTTATAGTATTATTTTATTGATGGTAACAAGATTACATCTAAAAAATTATAATAACATAGTTGATATTAATTATAATTTACTGCATAAAATTATTTAAACAAATTATACAATATATTTGTATTTTTCTTTAGAGATAACAATTCTTATGGAAATTTTTTATTATTAATAAAACATATGATCTTTTATATTAAGAATTTATCATTATAAATAATAATTATTTTTTTTTTACTGTTAAGTGAGGCATTTCTCACGATCTTTATTAATAGAGTAAGATTTGTTACATGATTAATATTA